CCTGCCTCCCCTCCCAGGCGTGTCCCACATCACCTGGCGGTCTGCCCCAACTCACCAGCCTTCTCCCGCCGTAGCTTCCTTCCCCGATCATCGCCATCTTCGTCAAGTCCGGCAATTCCACCTTCGAGGCGGACCTTCGCCGCGGGCCGTTGGCCATCATGCGCACTCCTTCCTCCGACTCGCCGAGCACCCCGGTGCCAACCAACTCCATTTGGTTCAAGTCTCGTGTGGTCTCTCGGCACCATGCCCAGATCGACTACCACAAGCCCACCGGCCAGCTGCTCCTCTACGACATGGGGTCCTCGGCGGGGACATTCGTCAATGGCAAGCGCCTTTCCGAGTTCCAGCGCCCCTCCAAGCCCTACACCCTGTCCACGAGCGACGACGTGCGCATCGGCACTAGCATCGACATGAATGGCTCGGATTTGGCCGAGGGTGCCGATGAGTCGGCCTCCCCGTCGGATCGCCGCGCCCTGCGCCTTAGCGTGTTTCTCGATTATACGCACAACCCAGCTGGCCTGTACTGCATTATTCTGAGCAACAACCCCCACAAGCATGGCATTCGCGAGCTCTGCTAAGACACGAGCAGTGCGCCCCCAGCGTGTGCCGTGCTTTTATTGAGGCGAGGAGAGCTGTGCGCAGGCGCACGAGCTAGCGACGGAGCGCGTGCACCCCCTCCGGAGAAGGCACCTCCCCCGAGCAGCAGCAGCAGCAGCAGTAGCAGCAACAACAACAGCAATAACAACGGCCTCTGCGGTGATGACGGCAGAATGTCTCCAAAAAAAAAACGAGGGCGCCCTTCACATCTCGCTACCTTTTTATCCCCCTTTTTATATTCAGAGCAAGGGCACACCCGCGCCCGACCCTTCCCCTCCACATGAAACGCGCCAGCGCCATCTGTCTCCAGCAATGCGCAGGATGGCACCTTCCCTGCGCACAGACAAACGGAGCAGCCCAATATCCCCCCCCTCCACCCGCATTCTCACTGCAAAGAGAGGGAGAGAGAGAGATGCTCTCGTGCACGTCCCCCCTCCCTCTTCCCCGATATGGGCCCCGGGGAGAGGCACGGAGCACGTGCCTCCACCATCGGTCGGGTCGAGTTAAGTCTTGGCCGCTTGTGGACCCGTGTTTCCCCCCCCTCCCCCCCCCCCCACTCCCTCCCCCCTCTCTCCCCTTCCCCCTTCCCCCCCCCTTCCCACCACACCACACAACCAACCAAAAGCAACACCACAACCAACCCCCCCACCCGCATCCCCGATATGGGCCCCGGGGAGAGGCACGGAGCACGTGCCTCCACCATCGGTCGGGTCGAGTTAAGTCTTGGCCGCTTGTGGACCCGTGTTTCCCCCCCCCCCCCCCCCCCCCACTTCCCTTCTTTGGCTTCATACCTCCCTTTTCTGCCCTCCTGGCCGGCCACCATGCGCTGCCGGCACAGGAATACAATCCCTAGAATAGCATGATCATCACTCCCCCCCCCCCCCCCCCCGCCCCCTCTCCCTTCTCCACACAGCCCTCCCGTCGGATCAGAACAAGGGGGAAAGCGAGATGAGCGCCCCTCGCCCCTTGGGGAGGAAAAGACATTCAATATGTGTGCCCGTTCGAGGAAAGCGTGTTTATTGTGTTCGGGCGAATGTGAGGGGGAAGGGGGAGGGGAGGGGGACGACCAGCCGGTCGGGCTCTGCGGCACTGCACAACACCACCCACCACAAGAATGCATAGACACCCACATACACATGCACACGCGAATTTGTCCGCCTGTGTGCGTGTGCGTATGTGCAGAAGTATGAGCAGATACAAGTGGAGGGAGGGAGAGAGGGGGGGGGGGGAGGGCAAGACTCTGCACCAGACACATGTAGCCCCCCACACCGGAGGGAGAGAGGGGTTGTATATGTATAGGTGGAGAAGGCGTAGCAAGGGGCGAATGGAGGGGCGCGTGCCAGGGGAGGAAAGCAGAAGGGGGAGGAAGGCGACAAGGGAGAAGAAGCGGCAGGCAGGCAGGCAGGCAGGCAAAGTCACACTTGCGATCATCCCCTTGCGGAGAGGGGGGAGACGCAGAACGTGAGCCTGCCGGCCCTCTGCACGCCAGCCGCGGGTCCTCTCCCCACCTGTCGACCCACCACCGATCAACCACCTCCCCTCAGTGACACACAGCCATACATACATGCATATATGCATGCATGCATGCATAGACATGGGCACGCGAGCAAGCGCAATCACACGGCAGCTACACCGTCAGCAGAAGAACCCTACTCGTAAGTGGGGTAGTTGACGAAGGCGGTCTTGAGGCCGGTGGGAATGGTCGGGCTCGAGGCAACCGACTCAGCCTCTGAGGGGGGAGAGGGAGTGATTTGCGGAGGCACGGGCGGAAGAGCGGGGCGGGAGGGGATGGGCAGGGGAAGCAGGACCAGTCAGTGACCATGATGCACATGGAGGGTGAGAGAGAGGGGAAGGAGAGAGGGAAAGACAGACTGGAAAAGGGGAAGGAGAGAGGGAAAGAGATAGAAGGGAAGGAGGGGGAGAAGGAGAAGGCTGGGTCATACACCACCACACAACACGCAGACTGGCCGGATCACCGGAGCGGAGGGGGAGCGGGCGCCGCCATGTGCATTTACTCTACGCGAGGGAAGGGGTCGTGAGTGGGGGAGAGATGCGCGGGGACGCATGGAGGAGGAGAGGGGGAGATGGTGCAAGCGCGGGTGCAAGGAGGAGAAGAGGAAAGGAAGGGGATGGAGATAGGAGGGAGGGAGGGAGTAAGGGGGACAAGGGAAGCGGGGGGGGGGGAGAGAAGGACAATGAGGAGTGGGGGAATGTAAGTAGACGAGTGGCATGACCACCCATGCGACCATCTCAGGAAGCAGGGAGGAGGGGACGGGGCCACCATACAGGCAGGCAGGTGGGATGGAGAGAGAGAGAGAGAGAGAGAGAGAGAGAGGAGGGTGATCGGTATCGATCGGGCGCGATGGCAGGCAGGACATGACACTCGGGGAAGGGGGAAAGGGAGAAAGAAGGGGACAACTTCGCGTGGCTTTGGGTAGATGGTGGGGGGGAGGGCGGGGAAGGGAGAGGGAGAGGCATGCCCACGAGCATGGAATCAACCATGCCATAGCATCTGGCATGAAAGTCCATGCGGGAGGAAGGGACACACACACACACGTGGAAACAGACAGAACACTGCACAAGCAAAAGCCCATGGAGGAAGGCGAGGGGAGGAGAGAGGATGGAGCACCAGCAGGTGGTGCCGTTGTCGAGAAGAAGGGGAGAGGGGGAGGGAGGGGAGAGAGAGAGAGAGAGAGACAGACAGAGAGAGGAAGGATCAACGGACGCACCCTTCTTGAGGAGCTCAGCAAGAGCGGGGTTGTAGTTGTTGTTGTCGTTCCAGAAGAGAGAACGCAGGCCGTTGCCGAACGGGAAGGGACCAAGGTGCCAGTTGAGGTAGGGGTAGGCAACGTAGTTGGTCTCATCAAGGTGCTGGTGCTCAAGGTTGGCGAAGATCACGGCAGCGCTGATGAAGGTGAACGGGATGGCACCGAACCAGGTAAGCTTGTACCAGAGGTTGGCGGCGACTAGGGGCACAGGCGGTGAGCGCGCGTCGACGGGAGCAGGGGTTGTCAATACCACCATCACCATCACCACACCACCGGGCCGCAGGTCAGAAGAAGCCGGCGGCTGGGCAGGGGGAGGGGGGGGGGAGGGGGGGACAGAAACAAAGAGGGGGAGAGAGGGAAAAAAGCCACCGCCGGCGTCATGTGCAGAAGGGGCTATGGCGACGTACTGGCAGCGCGCTCGATGGCGGCGCGCTCGGACTCGAGCATCGGGGGAGTCGGGCGACCAGGGCCAGCACGGACGGTCTCGACGTACTTGGTGGCCTGGCGCATGTTGGCGGCAGAGGAGAAGCGGCGGACGGCGCCGGAGGTGGCACGGAACATGGTGGAGGGGCGGATGGGGGAGGGGGGGAGGAAGAAAAGGGGAAATCGAGGAGGAGGATCAACACCTTTTGGCGGCCCGGCCCCAGGGCCGCGGGCCACACTCTGGTGGCACTTCATCCCGTCCGCCGAGGTACCCCCCCCGCCCCCCCGCCCCCAGCATGTGGGCAAGGGCCTGCGGCAGCTGGGGCCACTGCTCCCGACAAACGTGCAGGCACCCATAGGGGGCGAGGCAGAGCCAGCAACCCTTGTCTTGCTCGGTCCCCGCGCCGGCCCTCTCCCGCATACAAGAAGAAGAAGCCCACCCCTGTGCCTGTGGCGTCACCCAGTCCCCCTCTGGGCTTCTCAGAGGGCTCTCCGGGCATCACAACACGACGTCGCTCCTGGCTGACCTTGCACCCCCCCCCCGGGGGGGGGGGCCGGGAGAACAGTGAAGGGGCACGAGACAGATGCGCGGGGGAGGGCTGCGCGACCAGCCAGGCAGCTCTCGTGCGAGCCCTCATCCCCCACCCCGGCAGGAGGGGCCGTCCCCAATCGCCAAGTGTGAGTCATTTGATCCGCGAGCTCCCATTCTGAATCCCCCCCCCCCGGACGCCAGACTTTGGGCGGAGCAGGAGGGCCAACCAACACCAACCGACCAGCGGCAAGTTGCCCTCACGCCCCCCCCTGTCTCTTGCTCATCGGGCGGATGGGCCTTCGGCCGCGTTGAGGGAACAGCCCAACCAGCTCTCAAGGCGGGGGCGGGGGGCTTGCCCCAGGAAGCCAACGGACGGCTCCCCCGCACCCTCGGATATCAGCGGCCCTGCAGATTCTTTAGGGTTTAAGTTTGAGGCAGAGCCCAGGCGCGAGGACATCCACCGCCAGCCCCTTCCGCCCCCCCCCCCTCTGCAAGCAGGGGCAGCACCTCCACACGCCCAGACCGAGACACAGAGGCAGGGCTGCCAATGAAAGCGCCAGGGATCGGGAATGTCGACTCTATTCATGTGATCTGGGTTGGGAGCTGGAGGGCTCACTTCGGGTGCCCGGCCGCCCCGTGCAGGTCAAACCAGCGGAGCCGCGCACGCCAGTCGTCCCGAGTGGAGTAGGCGCCGATGAAGCGCCGGTACCCGGTGAAGGCCTCCCGGCCGTGGAGGACGCGCTGGTTGTCAAAGATGACGGCGCTGCCGGGGCGCATGGGGAAACGCCAGACCAGCTCCGGGGACCGGGCCAGCTCGGAGAAGAGCTGCAAACCCGCATACAGGTCGGGCACCCGATCGGAGGGGACGGCCGTCAATGGGGCACGGTCGTCGCTGTTGAAGCGGATCCCGCGCAGAGTGACCCCGCGGTAGGCGTCGCGCAGGGGGTCCCCAGTAGCAGGAGCATCCAGATCCAGGTCCACATCCTCGGCCTGGATAACGGGATACGTGTGATCGGGGCGCATGTCGAGCTTGGCCGGCTGGTCATGGCCGTGTGAATTGGACAATGCAGAGGCGAGGTAGGGGAGAGAGGGAGAGGGGGAGAGAGAGGGAGAGAGAGGGAGAGAGAGAGAGAGAGAGAGAGAGAACGATCATAATGGTGATGATGAGAGGGAGGGAGGGAGGGAGGGATGATAAGGTCTGTTAGGAAACTGGACAAGCCACGGTGGGCCCCGCTGCTCTCGGAAAGGCGAGGGAGAAACCTGGCCCGATACGCACATGGTCGATGTAATGACTTGCGAAACGCGTTTGGCGCAGGACATCAAAGAGATGCGGCGCCTGGCGGCGGATTTCCAGTGCGATGCGGAATCCATCAACGAAGGTCGACCAGCCACCGGTGCCGGTGTGCTGCATCATGTGGAACATCTGGATACCGCAGGGCTCGGAGAAGTAGGTGTTATCAGTGTGCGCACTCAGACCGACCGTCGAGTAGGCCAGATCGGCGTGCGTCATTTCCCCGGAAGAGACGGTCCACATCCCACCATAGTGGGTGTGGCGGATGGGCCCCAGGCGCTTGGCCAGCTGCTCGGTAGCCTGTCAGGGGGGAGGGGG